GGGGGGGGGCATCAGAAGGATCCCAAGAACTTGGCCTTTGCACCCAGGGTCCCTTGCTCTGTAGTTATACTCCCACTGTAAGGCTGAGAGTGGATCGAGCGCAAAGGGATTTGAGGAAAGTCTCATTTCACCCTGTGGTGGGAGACAGAGGAAATTAAGTGGACAGAGTGCCTAGTGCTCTCCCTTCTCACACACCAACCCTTTGTGCTTTATGAATAATCATTAATGCCAATGGCTGAGCTGTCTTCTGTACCTTTAGTCATAACTGGGTACAGAGGAAGATTCACAAAGACATCTACAGGTCATAGTTGGAACTGGATTAAAATAAAAACTATGTCTTAACATGTCAATATTTTAATTTGGATGATCCCATCAAACACTAAGGTCAATTTATCAGTAGTCAATAGGAGTAAATTAACTAGGAAACAATTTATCATTTGTTTGTCACTGTGCAAATCATTCAGTGTGGGAAGAAAAGAAAATTGACCTTTGTTGAGCATGTTCCATATGACAAGCCCTGGACTGGGCAATTCTACACTCAGATGCCATTGAATTCCAGAACAAGACTCTGGTCAGCAGTATTAAATCCATTCTACAGACAACCATGACTCAGAGGTGTTAAGTAACTCCCTCACGTTCCCACAGAGAGCAAGCAGAACGCGAGGGCCAGGTTCAAACGTAGATCTATGTGGGGCTATAACCTACCCTCTCTCCACTATTCCGAAAGAGCCAGAAGCTTTCAAATATAGAAAACTAACTACACACAGGGTTATCAACAATCATGTACATATTATGAGGTTGTAATTTACTTACTCTTTGTATTAGACAGGTAAAAAAAATAATTGGTATTTTTAGACAACTAGACAAACATCTTTTGTCAATTTTCAACCACTGAGTAGCAAGGAGAAAAATCACTAAAAGTCCAATCTGATTTAAACCTTGGCCTGAGGCAAACATTTAGAGTCCCATTGTTTAATGTTCCACCTTTCCAGATAAAGGTACTTGGTGATTCCTCTGTCTTCCACCCACCTTCCTGACTCCTCTTCCAGACGGCATCTGAATACCTGAATATACATGGGGTTGGGTTGGGTTGTCATCACAAAACTTTGCAGTCTTGTGGTAGGTGGGGTCAGGAGTCTCAGGCATGACGTCCCGAGCTCCCTGGTCTGCCGGACCTTACCATCTAGCCACCTAGTTGCTGTGGCCTGACTAACATCTGCTTTTCCTGCTGCTTGCAGCTTGTCCTCTGGTTTCTCTTCAAGCTTGGCCAAAGCCCAGTGGGGCCTCCTGGCTCCCTAGCAGCCTCATCTCCACTCTTGCTGGGGGTCTTACTAGAGATCCTGAGGAGCTCTTCCTACAGATCTCATTTGGGCTCCAGACTAGTGCTGCCCTGAGCTAAAAGGCGATTTTTCTTCTCTGCCCATCCCACCTCCCAGACTTCTACACAGACATGCCAGGGACCTCACTGAGCCCTCTGGCAAGCTTCCAGCCAGTCCTTAGCATCGTCAGTGTTCCTCCTGGATACACGGGCACCCCTGGATACAGTCAGGGTATCATGGAATCTGGGTGAAACCCCTGAGGGACTGAATTCAGGCCCTCCCTCTATGCCCCCCTATGTGGCAGTGGGGAGCAACCTTAAAAATGGTGATGTCTGGGTTGAAAGATGACTAGAAGGGGAGACACCTGATTTTGCCCGGATGACAGATTAGCAAGTGGCTGGGGGGAGCGCAGGGTCATGTGCTGTTTCTACTTATGTATTAGAGGGCCTTTGCTTTTACACTTAAATTTTTATCATTGTCTTAGTGCCAGCTAAAATAACCATGTCCTTCTATGAGTCCTGTGATGGAGTGGTCACTGCAGGCCAACTAGGCCAACCTAAAATGAAGCTGATTCTAGGGCTGGCCGCACCTCAAACCACAGCATCCTCCACTTTCCTCACCAGTGTCCTGCTCTGTCCTTTGTCAGGGCCCCAGAGAAGCAGCCAGGGCACAGGCCATGCCCCTCCCTCCCCGCCCACCCCCACCTCACACCCCCCACAGCTTCAGCGCTGGAGGTTGTTTTGTGCCTGGCAGGTCTGGAATGGAGAGCTTTGATTGTCTTTCATTGTCCAGTTTAAGTTGCCAGATGTCCAATTTCAAATATTTAAACCTGTTTCTGAGAATCAAATTGCAAAAATACCAGACACATAAATGTCCGATATTAGGAAGTGTCTCTTTTCTCTCAATGTAACTTTAAATTTTATTAAAGTAACCAAATAAAGTATTTCCAAAGTTTTATGATTGCCTTTATGTAAATATCCAAATAAAATAGTTCAGGCTATTGTGGGAAAGGTCAGAAAGGTCCTTCCCAGGGCCTCAAGTTCCATTGTCACCTCTCACTTGAAATGTCTGTTCCCTGGGCTAAGCTCTTGGTGTTCCCAGCTCAGTAGCTCAGTGCTCGAAACCACGGCCCTGTCCCCTCTACACTCAGCCACTTTGCCTCATTCCCCAAAGCACTACTCATGTAAGAAGGTTGTACATGCCAGATTTAATTCGTTTTAGGAATTCATTTATTTAACAAATATTTATTGAGCACCTACTATAGACTACACCCTGTTTGGACTCCAGGGATTCAACCACAAGTAAAAGAGACAAAAATCTCTGCCCTTGTGGAGCCTACATTCCAGGGGAAGCACTCAGACAACAGGTACAATAAATAAGACACCCTAGCGTGTGTCTGGTAACAGTAAATGCACTGAGAAAAATAAAGCAGAGTGCTAGGAGGAGAGTTGATTTTTAAAATATATGACCCAAGCAGGCTTCAGTGAGGAGCCTTTGCACTGAGTAGATGAGGTGCTGGAGAGAGCCATGCTCGGATCTGGGGGAAGGATGTCCCAGGCAGAGGGAGCAGCGAATGCACAGCCCCGATGGAGGAAGAGCCTGAGGCCAGTGCGACGAAAATGGGAATAAATGAGGGAAGAGCCAAAATGTGATCAGAGGGGTTGGAAGTGGGTTGTGCAGGCCAGTAGGTCAGTGTGACGGTTGACTTTTACCCAGAGTGAGTTGGGAAGCTGTTGCAGGCTTTGGAGTAGAGGAGTGCTAGAACCTGACTTGCTTTAGAAGGATCATCTGTCTGGCTCCTGGGGTGGGAAGAGACTGAGAGAGGCAAAGGTAGAAGCTGGATGATGACTTTGGAAGTTATTAAAACTATATAGGTTAGAGCTGGTGACTGGAACCACTGTCCAGCAGTGTGGTGATAAGGAGCATACATAAGTTATGGATACATATTGAAGGTCTGCCAACAGGGTTTGCAGATGAATCAAATGTAGATGTAAAAGAATGAGAGGAAGCAAGGATAAAACCAAGGTTTTGGGGTGCCTGGGTGGCTCAGTTGGTTGGGTGTCTGACTCTTGATTTCGGCTCAAGTCATGGTCTTAGGGTCGTGGGATTGAGCCCCATGTCGGGCTCTACGCTGAGCACAGAGTCTGCTTGGGATTCCCTCTCCCTCTCCCTCAACCCCTCCCTCTGTGCTCTCTCTCTCTCTCTCTTCAAATAAATACATAAAATCTCTATTAAAAACAAGAAAAAAACGAGGTTTTTGTCCTGTGCCAGTAGAAAGATGGGGTTGTCATTTTCTGGGATGGGGGAGAACAGTAGTAATAACACAGCTCAGGAAAGAATATCAAGTTGGATGTTAAGCATAAGAATTTCTCCCCAGTTGTGTCCCTCCAGAGTCCCCACCTCTGGCCTTGTTGTTGGGCTCCTCTCTCTCCATATGATTTTCCTCTGCCCACTCCTTCCAAGGTTCCAACTACATACCATGAGTGGCTGAACTTGAAACTCCAAAATTCCTGTTTTTTATTATGTGCCAATGAACAACTTGGTTCTTTTCATGTGATGAAAAAACTAAAGAAAGCAAGTTCTCAGACAAATTGATTACAAGATATGTTGGGGTTTTATTTCAAGCTTACTACAAGCCAAACCAAAGAATTCTTTCTTGGGAGAAACATTTATGGAAAAGAATAAAAAGAAAAGGAAAAAGAGGAAGAAGAGGGTGCAAAGGAAGAAGAAGTTATTAACATATGCAAAAAGTAGGCAGAGTGTGATGAACTTTTATATACCCATCACCTTGCTTCAGTAATTGCCAATTCAGGCTGATCATAATTCATCTATTACCCACCCACTTCTCTTCCTCTTGTATTATTTTGAAGCAAATCCCAGGCATACCTTTCATCTGCAAACTTTTCACTGTGTATTTCTAAATCATAAAGTTGATTTTATATAAATTCATTACCATTGTCACAATTTAAAAATTAACAATAATCCCTTAATATCATTACGTTTCTAGTAAGAGTTCAAATTTTCAACTGCATGAATGTCATATTTTATTTTGTAGTGTGTTTGAATCAGGATGCAAATAAGGTCTACATGTTGTAATAGATTGGTAAGTCTTTTAAGTATTTTTTTATAGATTCCTTTCTTCCCCCCACCCCACCCCCTACTCCCTGCAGGATGCTTACTGAAGAAACCATTTGGAGTCTCGTATAATTTCCCATGGTCTGGATATTGCCAACCCTTCATGATAGAGTTTATCATGTACTTCTCATATATTGGTAGGTAGATCTAGACACTGCTGGCTTGTTTTCAAATCACATTTGTAGCTTACGTTAGTGCTGTTTCCATTATGAAATCTTACTGTTTCTCCAAAGTGTTGCATTTGTCTAACTTTCATGTTTTTCAAAGCTTACAACCCTCTTTTAAGGTAAGAAATAGTTTTATTCCAAAAGGGCTTACCACCTGAAATCAAATTTTAAGGAAAAAAAAAAATTACTTTAGAACAAAAAACTGATGATAATGTTTTGGCACAAAACTTATATTCACATTGAGAATAAAAATTGTCCCAAACCTGGTCTAGGGCAGAACTTTTTTGCATGATATAATTCACAACCTCCTCTGGGATGTAATTGGCATTGCTGTTAAAATGCTTGAGCAATTTTCTGATAGACCTAAATAAGATTAAGGACTTCTGGGAAGCCAGGGTTGCCCACCCAGCTGACTGGCCAGCCTAATAATCTTTAACCAGACATGATTTTTTCTTGTATCCAGTTTAACAATGATTAACCATTCACTTTTCTTATAAAATCCCTAAAGAGAATCTTGAATTGGTGCACTTAAAGGTTTCATCCCTTGTGGCTAGCTCGAAACAAAGTTTTGGCCCAGACTTATAATCCATTTGTCTAAGAAGGTGTTTACACAACATTTAGGAAGAAATACTGTAAATTTTTTTACTACTTTGTGTGGGTAAGAAATTTCATCAAAAGGTATTAAATGTATACACAAGAGTCCCTAAATATATGGAAAATTGGTTTCTTTGAAAGCTCTGGGCACTTTGACTAATGTGGAGAAATTTCTCCTTTGGATAACATAATTCAAACTTAGCTGCTGTCATGAAGTAAAAGATCTTCCTTCAGATTCCTTCTATGAGCAAGTTGGTGCCTTGAACGTGGGATCCAAGTGTCCTGAGAAAACAACATCTCTTGATAGGTGGAAACTGGTTTAACATCATGATTTAATTATTTTATCAAATACATCATGGATAATCTATGGACTTTAGTAAATTTAACAGGTAAAGGCTGAATTGGTAAAAACTGAACTTCAGTCCTGCATTTTAAAAAATACATTTAATCTAATGGAAAATAAAAATGAATACTTGGATAAAATTTTAAACTTGATCATAAATAAATAAAAATTGAATGAAATATAGTAAGAGGATAGGTTGTATATTTTATGTATTGTGTATAACATGTATTTCAGAAAATTATTTTTTATCACGCCTATACAACAGCTTTGTTGACATTATCTGGAAACTCTATTAGTTACTAAGGAAAGATATATGAGCTTTCAAATGTACGTAATACAGTGGAGTTAAGCCCATACTCCTATGCCTTTTGGGATGCTAGATTGGGCCAAATAGCTCAAGATGGCTCTAAATTAGACCTGCAGACCTCAAGGTTTGAGCAAGGCCACGGAGGGCAGGTTGGGCTTCACCCAATCCAAGGGTTGACCAGCTAGAGGTCTTCACATGGGATTTATTGTTCATATGCCAAATAGCAGGCCCATTCTGAGAGCCAGCTCAGGTAATATATACAGGCTTACCTGCTTTCATCAGCACTGAGTCTACACCAAAAGATAACAGACTCTTGTATTAAGGAAATTAACTTTAGGGGCAATGGAGAATAATAATAACTATTCCACGGAATTTTTAGAAGGATTAAAAGCAATGATGTATATAAAGTACTTAGCACAATGTTCAGTGGGCACAGGAGGTGCTTAATATTTATTATTTTTAATATATTAAATTGTTATTTAATATACTAAATTAATAATATTTATGAGCTCCTTCTCTCTCCCAAAGTTGAAAGATCCACATGTGCTCAGGGTCAGGGATTGTCAATGAGGAAAGCATGATGTGACCAAAATAATCATGTCTGAATAGTGTTTTATAATCTCCAAAAAGCTTTAACATGTACTATTACACTTGGACCTCAGCTAACCGACAACCACCCAAAGTGCTCTGTGAGACAGGAATAAATATATCCAGTTTACGGTCGCTGCCAACCTGGTAAAGAAGGACGTGATATTGCAGCCACACTCCTAGAGGAGATCTGACCTCTGTGGGTGCTGACTCTCAGGTATGTGACACCGAGAGTCCAGGCCCCCCACACACACATACCACTCACAGACTCCAATTCAGGTGAACAAATAAAGGGATTCCTGGAACACCAGACTTCCAGTGCTAAAACAAGGAAGTCTCAAGCAAACCCAGATGAGTTGGTCACCCTAAGTCTAAAAGAAATGAACACCAAACCCCACAGACCACGGGAGCAAAAAATATTAGCCAGGGGCGCCTGGGTGGCTCAGTCGTTAAGTGTCTGCCTTTGTCTCAGGTCATGATCCCAGGGTCCTGGGATCAAGCTCCGCATCGGGCTCCCTGCTCAGCGGGAAGCCTGCTTCTCCCTCTCCCACTCCCCTTGCTTGTGGTCCCTCTCTGTTGTGTCTCTCTCTGTCAAATAAATAAATAAAATCTTAAAAAAAAAAAAATTAGCCGGCAGAGCCATAGGAAACATGCTGCTTAGCACATGCCATAGTACCCAGGGTTTCATGGTTTAAGAACCTTACATGTTGCTCAGTCTGGGAAGACAGCTTCTCCAAGCTCTCAGGATGGGAGCAGGTTACAAAGCATTTCTCACCAGAGCCCCCGCCAAGGCATTGGCATTGGATGATTTAATCATCCTCTTCCTGAAGTTTGTGGGTGCATCCCCCCATGCACTGGGTGACCCCATCCACCTCAGGTTTCCCCTCCCAGATGCAGATGTCTACAGGAGAGCCAAGCAGCCCTGCTACAGCTCCTTTTTAACTGTGGCAAGAGACCAGGGCACAATGGAAGAGAGAGGGCATCATCTCCAAGCCTCTCCTTTAGAAAAGTCTAAACACTTCTGGTTGACACAGAATTAAAGAACTTTATGCAGTAAAAAATAGTGACATCCTTAGCTTTCAATATTGTTCCCCACACTTGCATTGGTTTCAGGGCCTATATATCTGGAGCTCAAAAGCACATTCCTCTGCCCCTTTTGGATCTGGTGTATATGAGTTCACAGAATCATCTCCAGAAGAAATGCTGAATCATAAAGCTGTGCCAGCTCAGAAGAGCCTTTATTTGGGTGGGTCTCCTGCCACTCAACTCTGCAATCTCTCAGTTCCCCTCCAGAGAATCTGTTTCTCTCTCCAAAGATCAAGACTCTGCTTTTTCAAATTCTCCACAGGTTGGTGTGTGTATGTGTGTTAAGAGGAGAGAAAAGGGAGAAAACCCTCTGTGTCTTCCAATACTTAACAGACATGTCTCATAAGGAAGGTTAATCTCTAGACTGAAGAGAAGAGAGGAATTTGTTTGTGGTTTGATATCCATCACTGAAAGGAATACAACTAAAAGAGGCATCAAAGAAAACTGATTTTGTCACCAATGTAGCTACCATGGAGCAACTTCCACAAGATCAAGATGCTGGAGGCTGAAGGACTAGGAGACAAATCTGTAAGCCAGAGATCCGGAGAGACCCTGAGGCTGTAGGGAACCTTCTACTTACCATATTATTGGACTATTTTAGAAAAAAAAAAAAGTTTTCATAGAAAAAAAAGTTTTCATAGAAAAACATAGCTATATAAGCTTCTAAGAGACTTTAAAGACATGTTCCACTCACTGCATCAAAACTCTCTTATTGTATAAAAAGGCAACTTCAGCTGAGGAACAATTACTAGATGTGACAGATATCTTCAGCCTCAGCCCCCAGATGCTCTTTCCAACCTCCCCAACCTGCTCTGTCCCAAGAGAGGCTGACCCATGCTTTGCCTCATCTCAGCTCCCACCCCCTCTGCCTTCTGGTTAGATTCAGCTAATGGGAGGCACTGGCAAAATATAGACAGGAGACATGAGGATGGGAGGAGAAGGAGGCAGAGTGAGGTCAGAGGTCCTTCCTTGCATGACCACGGCTTGGCAGTAGCTCCTTCCCTCTGGAAAAGGCCACAGCCCTCACTCTACTACAGCTACAGTTGTCAGGGTTCTGGGAGCTCTTCCCTCCTCTATCCCTTTAAGCCAATGGCTGATGAAGATTCCCACTGTTGCTAGCCCCGGGAAGACCTCACCATCTTCTGTTGGTTTCCCTGACACCTGTCTACACTCTTAGAAATAGCCTCTTCATTAAACTCCCTGAATAAGGCCCTATTAAGTGTGACTTCTGTGTCTTGTTGGGACCTGGACTGATACCTTCAGCATATCAAGGATCCACATGGGCCAATGGCGAGCAAATGAGAAACAATGCAGAAGTAAGCTAGGACTACCTTCCTCCTCTTTCCCACTTTCACCTATCAGCCAAGGAATGCGTACATTGAAGGGAGAGTTTCGTAATAAACAAGGGCTATAAAGAATCCTTCTGAGATTTTCTATGCAATTTACAGACAAGAAAGCAAGGTTCTGAGTTCATCTTTTCTTCCTATGTCATATAGCTCTTCCTTTGTCCCCCCCAAATGCATAATGGATTCTAGTTAGGATGGTGGTCAGTAAGCAGCAGTGAAACAGTTGAAGAAATACACATAGAACAGGAATGAGGCACATAATTAGTCAGAAGTATTTATTAATCAAAGATGGAAGATGATGTACACTCCTAAATGAAACATGAATTTTAGTAATGTTGGAAAGGAAGAGCAAGAGCAAGAGAAAGGTTTGAAGGCTTTCACTCCTTAAAGTGAAAGGAAATTTGGGAATCTGATCTTTCTTAGGAGTCTGACCTTGACTATTACAGTTACATCATCAGGATTTCAAAACTAATATAGGAACCTATTATATATTGACTTTGTATTAACACAGACAGTAGTACTTTTGTTGGTTGAAAACAATTCTTTTCCCATACTACATAAAAGATCCTCTTTCCTGGAATTCTTAATTTAAACATATATATGTTAGATAGATATTATATACATAATGCATAATATTATATATATACATTATATGTGATGTATAATAATTTATACATATATGTTTATATACATCACATAA